GCATCACGTCTCGACCTGGTCTGAGCGCCACGCGTCCGCGCGCGGCCAATAGTGCGTCGAGCCACGCCCCCAGCGGCGCGGCGCAGGCGCGAGGGAGGAGCCACTCCGCGTGCCATTGGCCAATGGCCGACCTATCGGGTGCCCCGAATTCCGACAATTACGGTCGCCGGTGACAATTAAGGAAAGTCTCCGGCTCCCACGCGCCGGTCCGCGGACTCCGCGCCCGAGAGAGACAAAACGCCTTTGTCTCGCATCAGCTGGTCTGCGGGATGTTGCACCGACGTTTCGGAAGTGGTCACGCGCGCCTCCGAAACGCCGGTCAGTCGACGGAAAACTGCAGCTTCGTATTCGGAAGGTCCCGGGTTCAAATGTGCCCTGAGGCCTTTGCCGCTTGTAAATCCCGGGATTGACGGCCTTCCTTAAAATAGGCCACGACCGCCGCCCCCTCCTCGATTCGCTAGGCCAATCACGGCCCAGGCTGACACCTTCATGAGCAAAAACAAATTTCCCGCCTTTTGTGAAAGCCAAAGGTCAATGTTGACACAGAATCCGCCTTAGACCCAATCCTGAATCAGATGAGTCCAGTCCACACACGCCATTCATGTAAGATCCGTTTTAATATTATCCTACCCTCGTCCTCCCGGTCTCTTCCCTTCAGGAGCTCCGATCAATACCGATAATAAGATTCTACGAGTCCGACCCATCTCATCCCTCTCCGCCGATTCGCCCTGAAACAGGTGGGCGGACGCCCATTCATCGCCCGGCAACACACGCAGCCCACGAAAGATCTCGCACGCGACAGCGACCCGTTCACTTCTCCAAGAAACCACAGTCGCTTTTACGTGTCGTTCGAGCCTCAGCAACTCCCGCAACTTGTCAGTCGGCCACGACCACTTCCTCACACTCGACGCGAAATCATTTGTGCGTGTGGCACGGAGCCGGCAACGTAATTGTCCGGCTGGGCCTGGATCAAAAGAGAATTTCGCTGTTTCATAAACAGGTTCCTGGTGCAACAGCGGACGTTACGTCACATTTCAAGAATTTCTAAACGAACCCACCAGCAGCTGAAACCGACGTCCAGGGGTTCCATTGCAATGGCCTTCATCCCAGCTACAAGTCCCGGTCTCCAGCCTCTGGAATTCAGACGGGACGACAG